CAAGTTGCCTTACTCCAAACACAGACCGCTGTTTATCTCGCACTGACAAAGAACCCGGGTGTGATTCGATCGGCCTATCGCATTTCCGGGGGGATAATAATTCCTTCGAAAAGAATGTTGGCCACTCAATCCATGACTGTTCAGGTGAGTGCTAAATATCCCACGGAACGACTCGAAACGATTAGCTATATCCTGACAGATCCAATTGAGGGTCCTGGTAGATTTGGTATTGATAGCGTATTGAGTGTAGTGTTTGTGGAGGTCGCTGAGGTTCGGTGGTAGCATCTAAATTTGAAAGAGAATCTATGACATCTTCTAAAACGTTTGTGTCCCCTTTGCCTCATTCAGTGCCCGTCTGAAGACCATCCTTCTCAACCGAGTCTTCAGTGGCCATCACTCCTCCACCCACCATCTTCTCTCCCCTTCTAATCCCGAGTGCAAACACATTCACTGTCCAGCGACTAAGGACGTCCGAGCAACATCAAACATGTTACTTATTGCTGTTTATTGTTGTAATTGATGTCCAAAGGCGCTTTATCAAATGCAAGGATTAGTATGATCCTTCCTCACCAAACTTTTATCCACAGTAGCTTTGACATCATCTTGTGGTGGCTCTGAAATCATTGAGCATGTAAATGAGTGTAGCCCAACGCCCATATTTAGCGGCGTGACAATGTCACGGGGTAAGTGTGTCAAGGAAACGCTGCTGTGGGGTCACGGATGTGATGTTGAAACCCTTCACCGTCGACATACACATTCAATCATCAAACTCTGACGGCAAAGTCTTCTTTCTCAAGAGCGACAATGTGGCTGTTCATCGAATACCTTCTCATATTGAGCTTTATGTCAGGTGAGGCTGTGAAACATACAGTACAGATTAATATTAATATAGAGGCGTTTTCATCAGTAGGATGATGGGTCATTGCGTTTGGCAGACCTGGTTGGTCAACCGAGCTGGGTTTGTTAGTTGAGATGTTAGCAATGGAAAGCTAGTAATAGTAATTTTTATGTTTGATAAAACGCCTTCATATAATGAAGGCGTCACAAAGCGCGTCTCAGTATTCATGGACAAGTCAACTGACCGCAATGGTGAGAGAGAAACGCGGCTGCCATTTGTGTACATGAGACTTCCACAAAAAGTGGTGGATTGAGTGACCACGTTTATTTTTTACGCATTATTATCCGAGGAAAAGCTTCCGCCAATCTTCCAACAACTGGGTTCCTATTTATTGCTTGGTAAACAGAGGCTTTTATGTGTAGTAAGGGAACTTGCCTAAGGTTTCTCCCTGTCCTGCCCGGGAATTGAACCCTGATCCTAACGCTTGCGAGGCGAGTGCACAAACCACTGAACTACAGGATTGCAAAAGCTGTATGTTTGATTTTGATCCTTTCCTCTCGTTGCAGATGTGGTGGTGGGAGACTCATTCAGAGAGCAGACAGCGGGGCTGAGCAAACAAGAGGGAGACACAGTGAGTCTGAGCTGCTCATATACCACCAGCTCGCCCTATGCTGCTCTGTACTGGTACAGACATCACCCGGGTCTGGCTCCCCAATACATTCTCTACAGGGATACTGATGGAAATGACAAGACAGCAGATTTCGCCAAAGGCCGTTTCACTTCACAGGTTGACAAGAATCAGAAACACACCACATTAAGCATATCCAGTGTCATTGGCACTGACGCTGCCACATATTATTGTGGCTTAACAACAAGCACAGTGCTGCAAGTCAATGACATTCCTGTACAAAAACCTCCCAAGGTGGAGCCTTGCAGCTCAGTGGTTAGAGCACTCGCCTCGCAAACGATAGACTTGTGTTTGATTCCCAGCCGTGCAAAATATTGGGCAACTTTCCTTACTCCACACACCTCAGTTTGTTTAGCAGTAAATAAGAACACGATTGCCAGTCGTTTAACGGATTGCTTTTCTGTGGGTAATAAGCTCTTTAAAAAATAATGATAATTTCGTCACTCAAACCACGACTATACACTGATATACTAGTGAAATGCCGAGAGATGTCGCCACGTAACAATACAATAAAACTGACTGTTAAACAGCAGCTTTCACATCAGGAAAATACCTCGTTCGTGCAATAATTTGGAGTCTTTTAACTTAGTGCTCAGAATACAAGTTTCGCAAGTGAGATGATCTGAGTCCGATTCTCGTGTGGGGAGAAACCTCAGGCAAGTTTCCTTAAGCCACACTCGCCTTTATATATTTAACAATAAATAGGAACACACATGTTATTCGTTTGAAAGACAACTTACCGAGGGCAATATTCCCTTAAAAATAAAACAAAAACATATTTGTTTTAAAACAAGTCAATAATTACATAAGTAAAATATTAATTCGGTCACTCAATCTGCGGCTGTTTGTTGGACACTGATGAGCACAATTGACTGATCCATTTTACCACCTAAACGTGAAATAGATCAACTCTTCAATATATTTTGTGAATCGCTTTGGGACGTGAAAATGTTGAGTATCAAATGCAAGGATTATTATGGTTATAAGAATAAAACGGGTTCCAACTTGATCAAGTATATTTACTCTCCCTCACAAACAGACCCAAACTGCTTTGACCTCCCAGTCCATGGTTCAAGTCAAAAAATAATCACAAACCTGATTCCACTCGTGATCAACTCCCCCCTCACAACCCCTAAATCTCCTCAGTGCTGAAGTCCAATAACATTTGTAAAAAGGCTTAATAAAAATAACATTCCTTGCATTTTACACAGCGCCTCATCATGTCAACGAGAAACCACAAAGCCCTTTACAGAATACATTGTGAAGGGTAGTGACTGTGGTTTTCAGGCAAAATGCACCAACAGAGGCGACGTCCTATACACAGTCATGGATTAAGTATCAAATTATTATTATTATTATTAATTTATTAAAAGCGATCAAACATTCGCAGAACAAGCGGTTTGTAATTATTGCTAAACTGAGGCGTTTGTCTGTGTGTGTGTGTCTGTGTGTGTGTGTATTTGGGCAGCAAGGAAACATTCCTAAGGAACCAAAGAAAGAGGGCCAACGAGAGAGAGAGGGAGAGAGAGAGAGAGAGAGCGAGAGAGAGCGAGAGAGAGAGAAACACACACAGACGGACAGAGAGACAGACAGACAGACAGACACAGAAACAAACACACACACAGATACACAGACATACAGACAGACAAGTCAGGGATTAATAATAATGTTTGTATTTAAAAAGGTGCATTCCCATATATTTAATTCGTGATAAACCACTTCAAATGATACGCTGAAAATTGAGCATCATATGAGCTGCCTTCTCTTCCTCCATAATGTCCCCCTCCGGCCCTTCATCTCTTTGTCACCCGTTTTGTACACAAGGATTATATAACCACCCAACCCCACACTCATTACCCCGATTTCTCCCTCCTCCTCCTCACCCATCATCACCCATATCTCGCTAACACTCTGCTGCCTTGACCGGCTTCCCGGTCCTGCTGCTGGTCACTGTAACAGAACACACTCCAAGGCAAAGGAGTGTATGTATTTTCTTTACATGTCTTTCCCAATTCCCAGTAAAGTTCACTCTACACCTTTGTCCCTCTCACAGTGTCAGATTCTACTCCATCTCGTTGGCTTCCACGTCAATTGTCTATTTAAACCTAAATGAGCCTCGAACAGTCATCCCCAAATCGTCCTCTCTGCCCACTGCTCTCGGGCGCAGTCAGTCAGTCCCTTTCCTCATGTATGTTCTTCCCCTCCACCCCAAAACCACCCCCCGCCCATACCTCAAAGCCGCCGACACCATCCATCATGTGACGCTGTTCACCACAAATAAAACAAGTCTCTAAAACTCTTACAGAACAACCATGTGTTACTCACAGTCACTCTGAGGTGTCCGGGGCTGACGGTATCTTCCAGCGGTGAGAGAATGTCTCTGCTCTATGTCTCCATCTCCTTCCTCTTCTTATATTGTAAGTGTTTGTTTCCATTACACAGCACTACACAGCGCCAGTGAATGTCATCAATAAAATGTGCAACATGATAATAATAATTCCTAGATTGACAGAGCGCCTCATGAAGTCGATGAGGCGTCTCAAATCGCTTCATGGAATATATTGTAAAGTGTATTTTTGACTGTGTTTTTGTGCGCGAAATGCGGCAGCGAACTGAGGTCAATTACACTATGATAGTGTACATTATAATTCCTTATGTCAGTTGATGTTATAACTATATTGTTAATCAAGACAGCATTATATTATTCGGTATCTAGCAAAATCAAGCTGAGGCTTGGGATTAATTTTAATCGAATTGGTCAGTGTTATCTATCTATTAAACTTATGCTGTGCTGTGTATAATTTTCAGATGTTTTCAGCGCCTCAGTAAAGCAAACACCACCGTCTCTTAGGAGAGAAGAATGCGAGTCTTTGACCATCAATTGTGTCTTTGAAGCAGTTTATTATGAGACTTTCAAGAGCATGGACTATTTTAGACATTTTCAAAGTGAGGAACATTGGAAGCGGATCCCTCTTGGAGGACGATTTGTTGTAAAGACAGACGCTGGATCGAAGACGTCTTTGCTGGAAATTAATGATTTGCAAGTTGAAGACAGCGCTGACTATTACTGTAAAGCTCGATACGACGGGAACCACAATGCTGTAACTGGGCTTCCGACAATACAATAAGCGCCTTCAGCAACTCACAGAGAATGTGAACATGTCAACTAATTTAATGCGCATTCCTCATTCCTGTGTGATGTGCAGTGATATTTAATAACACTTCCTTTTAGAAACTACCATTAGTTATAAATAGTTTGGAAACATTATTCAGTTTGAACCTCAAGTTAGTACGTTGTTTGAATTCATATAACTAACATTTTTTCGCAAGTGACTGACGACATGCAACGTCCAACTAGGAGAATATTCACAAAGAATCTTATGCATTATGTGCTTGATTGATCATTGGTAAATGGCAAAAATAATTTCTCTTGTTTTGAAAATCTGTTTTATTTGTGTTGACATTGAATGCTGTGCTGGCTGGGGAAGACACATTGAAAAACATCAGCACAAATACCGCACTGCTATTTTCATGGAGAAACACGAGGCGTGATCACTGATAAATTTGCCCAATTTTTTNCAACTGAATGCATGTAAGTTATCTTTCAAAATTGATTATTTCAAGCAGACATGTTCAGGAATTATTTGCAGAGAGTTCTTCTATGGGTCGTGCATTTTTTCTGTGTTTTGATGGAAACAATATTGAAGATAAACATAATTTGGATAAATGAAAAGTATGAAGATGGGACAGTAGTGGAGAGATAGGAGTTAATGATCAATTTGTCAGCATGTTATGGTTTTGTTGCCAGGATTAACCCATGTTCTGTTCTAAAAGTTTTTGCACCTTGTAGAAGGAGAGTTGTGTGACTGTGGCATTATAGCAAAGATGGATCAGGAACCAAAGTAACCGTAACCAAAAGTAAGTGAGGAAAAAATCTGTCGAATTGCAATAAAATTTGTTGCACATGAAATGCAAAATGCTCCCAATTATTTGCAACTGGAAAGTTTCTACAATCCATTTCACGAATTTTGAAAATAAACGGCCTGTGTTGTGGAAAAGATTAATGAACTCCCACTAGGAAGCTCGATTCTCAAATGACCAGGTTCTACTTTGTTATTTTTTACAGACATTGACATTGTCTGTAACGTGGTTCAAACGGACAAGCCCAGAGGACCTGTTGAATGTAAATTATGATAACTTGTTTTATTTAACCAATGTATGTTGGGTTAATGGCGTATTAAAAATCCATACCAACCCCTATTCTACCGATCAGTTTGGTCTCCTTGGAACTCGATTGGTTCCAATGTGAAATGTTCTATAAATCGATACCTTCCAGCGCCACTCCAAACCACCCATCCCCTGCCCCCGACGCAAGATCATCTTCCAAGAATATTAGCTCAGTTTCCTTTGCCTCCCTCCGTATATAATGATTGCACCCAGACATTTTTGTTTTATTCTGAACCATGAATATTCAAGCATATGGCGACAAATTCTGTTTTGTCAAATTGAAAAGTAGGAAAGTTAAGGAAAGGCTGGGAAAAGGATTAGAACGAAAGAAAAAAAGAAGGAAAGAAAGCAAGAAAGCAAGAAAGAAAGAAAGAAAGAAAGAAAGAAAGAAAGAAAGAAAGAACGAAAGAAAGAGAGAAAGAAAGAAAGAAAGAAAGAAAGAAAGAATGAATGAAAAAAATAAACAGAGAGAGGGAGAGAGAGAGAGAGAGAGAGAGAGAGAGAAAGTACTTTCCTTCTGGCACAAGTGAAGCTGCATTGAGCAGCTCAGAGACTGAGAGAGAAACTGATGTTGGCAACAAACCAGAGGCTAAGCCTTCTCCAGCAGCGATGTTAGAGTAACGACATTTGCAGAAGGGAAACTTTCCATTTGCCTCAACTGCAAACCCACGGAGTTAACGGTACATATTGACACCTGATTCTCTGCTAAACATTCCCCTGATCACAGAAACCCAAAGCTTCAATGTGGACAATCCACTACAGCAAACAACTACGACATAAGACAAACAAAGCTTAATTGGTCGGTGCATTTATGAGACATCAGATCAATCGTAAAAACAACAACAACAACAAGATCCCATTTATAGAGCGCCTTTAACGTCAGGAGGACGTCCCAAGGCGCTGCACAGTTGGGTCATGACCCGAGCAGGGGGGAAATGGTGAGGGTGAGGGGAGGCAAGGGAGGGAGAGAGGAAGGGGAAATGGTCAGGGTGAGGGGAGGGAAGGGAGGGAGCGAGGAGGAGGAAGAGAGTCGAGAGGGGAGCTGAAGGCACGGTCAAAGAGAAAGGTTTTGAGACCGGCCTTGAAGGAGGAAAGGGAGGAAGCAAGGCGAAGGCACTGGGGGATGGAGTTCCAGAGCCTCGGGGCTGAGAGGCTGAAGGCCCGACCACCGATAGTAGGGCGGTTGGGGCGGGGGACGTGGAGCAGACCGGAGCCAGAGGAACGGAGGGTACGGGCAGGTAGGTAGGGGGATAGTAGGTTGGAGAGGTAGGAGGGAGCAAGGCCGTGAATGGCCTTGTAGGTGAGGATGAGGATCTTGAAATCAATCCTCTGGGGGATGGGGAGCCAGTGGAGGCGAGCGAGGGTGGGAGTGATGTGGTCCCGAAGCCTGGTGCGGGACAGTACACGAGCTGCAGAGTTCTGAATGACCTGCAGCTTGTGGAGGGAGGTGGCGGGAAGGCCGGCGAGGAGAGAGTTCCCATAGTCCAGCCTTGAGGTGACAAAGGCGTGAACCAGGGTTTCAGCAGCGTGAGGGGTGAGGTAGTGCCGTAATCTGGCGATATTCCGGAGGTGATGGAAGGCGGTGCCAGTTGTGGTGCGGATGTGAGGGAGAAAGGACAGCTCAGGGTCGAACAAAACGCCGAGGTTCCTGACTGGCTTTGAGAGGTGGAGAGTGCAGCCTTGGATGCTGATGGTGTCAGCGCCTGAGGTGCGGAGGCGCTGACGTGAGCCAATCAGGAGGGCCTCGGTTTTTTGCACGTTGAGCTGAAGAAAGTTGTCTCTCGTCCAGGACTCGATGTCGGACAGGCAGGCTGTCAGGACATCGGTGGTCGTGGAGTTGAGAGTAGAGGAGGAAAGGTAGAGTTGGGTGTCATCCGCATACATGTGGAAGTTAACCCCATGTTTGCGGATGATGTCACCAAGGGGGAGCATATAGAGGGTGAAGAGGAGGGGACCGAGGACAGAGCCCTGAGGGACACCACATGAGACAGTACGGGGGGTGGAGGAGAAGCCATTCGTTGAGACGAAGTGAAGACGGTGAGAAAGGTACGACCTAAACCATTCAAGGACAGTGCCTTGAAGGTTGAGGTGGGAGGACAAGCGGTGGAGTAGGATAGTGTGGTCGACCGTATCGAATGCTGCCGATAGGTCGAGGAGGACGAGGAGACAGAGGGAGCCCTGGTCACAGATGGTCAGGATATCATTGGTGACCTTGACCAGGGCAGTTTCTGTGCTATGAGCAGCACGGAAACCTGACTGAAGGGGTTCAAAAAGAGAATGGGTGGAGAGGAAAGAGCGCAGTTGGGAGGCGACAACTCTTTCCAAGACTTTGGAGAGAAAGGGGAGGTTGGAGATGGGCCGGTAGCTTGATAGCTGCGACGCATCAAGGGAGGGTTTTTTCAGGGTGGGCGTGATGATGGCAGTTTTTAATGGAATGGGGACAGAGCCAGAGGAGAGGGACAGGTTTATGATGTCAGTGATGTGTGGGGCAAGAAAATGGAGCTGGGAGATAAGGAGTGGAGTGGGGATGGGGTCAAGGGAGCAGGTGGTTGGTTTTAGGGATAGGATGAGTTCAGTGACAGAGGGTGGGGAAACGGGTACGAAGGTGTGTAGGGGAGGATGGGTAGGAGTCGGAGTGTGGGAGGGAAGGGGTGGGTGGTGGGTGGAAGTTGGAGGGGAAGTGACCAGTCGTTAACGGATTGCTTTTCTGTGGTAATAAGCTCTTTAAAAAATAATATAATTTGGTCACTCAAACCACGATATACACTGATATACTAGTGAAATGCCGAGAGATGTCGCCATGTAACAATACAATAAAACTGACTGTTAAACAGCAGCTTTCACATCAGGAAGATACCTCATTCGTGCAATAATATGGAGTCTTTTAACTTAGAATAAAAATTTCGCAAGTAAGATGATCTGAGTCCGATTCTCGTGTGGGGAGAAACCTCACGCAAGTTTCCTTAAGCCACACTCGCCTTTGTATATTTAACAATAAATAGGAACACGCATATTACTCGTTTGGAAGACAACTAACCGAGGGCAATATTCCCTTAAAAATAAAACAATTACATATTTGTTTTAAAACATGTCAATAATTACATAAGTAAAATATTAATTCGGTCACTCAATCTACGGCTGTTTATGGGACACTGATCAGCACAATTGGCTGATTCATTTGACGACCTAAACGTGAAATAGATCAACTCTTCGATATATTTTGTGAATCGCTTTGGGACGTGAAAATGTTGAGTATCAAATGCAAGGATTAATATGGTTATAAGAATAAAACGGGCTCCAACATGATCAAGTATATTTACTCTCCCTCACAAACAGACCCAAACTGCTTTGACCTCCCAGTCCATGGTTCAAGTCAAAAAATAATCACAAACCTGATTCCACTCGTGATCAACTCCCCACTCACAACCCCTAACCCCCTCAGTGCTGAAGTCCAATAACATTTGAAAAGGCTTAGTAAGTATAAAGTTCCTTGCATTTTACACAGCGCCTCATAATGTCAACGAGAAACCACAAAGCCCTTTACAGAATACATTGTAAAGGGTAGTGACTGTGGTTTTCAGGCGAAACGCACCAACAGAGGCGGTCCTATAAACAGTCATGGATTAAGTATCAAATTATTATTATTATTAATTTATTAAAAGCGATCAAACATTCGCAGAACAAGCGGTTTGTAATTATTGCTAAACTGAGGCGTTTGTCTGTGTGTGTGTGTCTGTGTATGTGTGTCTGTGTATTTGGGCAGCAAGGAAACATTCCTAAGGAACCAAAGAAAGAGGGCCAACGAGAGAGAGAGAGAGAGAGAGAGAGAGAGCGAGTGAGAGCGAGAGAGAGAGAAACACACACAGACGGACAGAGAGACAGACAGACAGACACAGAAAAAAAACACACACACAGATACACAGACATACAGACAGACAAGTCAGGGATTAATAATAATGTTTGTATTTAAAAAAGGTGCATTTCCATATATTTAATTCGTGATAAACCACTTCAAATGATACGCTGAAAATTGAGCATCATATGAGCTGCCTTCTCTTCCTCCTTCATGTCCGCCTGCGGCCCTTCATCTCTTTGTCACCCGTTTTGTACCCAAGGATTATATAACCACCCAACCCCACACTCATTACCCCGATTTCTCCCTCCTACTCCTCACCCATCATCACCCACATCTCGCTAACACTCTGCTGCCTTGACCGGCTTCCCGGTCCTGCTGCTGGTCACTGAAACAGAACACACTCCAAGGCAAAGGAGTGTATGTATTTTCTTTACATGTCTTTCCCAATTCCCAGTAAAGCTCACTCTACACCTTTGTCCCTCTCACAGTGTCAGATTCTACTCCATCTCGTTGGCTTCCCCGTCAATTGTCTATTTAAACCTAAATGAGACTCGAATAGTTATTCCCAAGTCGCCCTCTCTGCCCACTGCTCTCGGGCACAGTGAGTCAGTCCCTTTCCTCATGTATATTGTTACCCTCCACCCCCAAACCATCCCCCGCCCACCCCTCAAAGCCGCTGACACCAGCCATGATGTGACGCTGTTCATCACAAATAAACCAAGTCTCCAACACTCTTACAGCACAGTTCTGTTTTACTTACAGTCACTCTGAGGTGTCCGGGGCTGACTGTAACTCCCAGCGGTGATAGGATGTCTCTCCTCTGTGTCTCCATCTCCTTCCTCTTCTTACATTGTAAGTGTTTGTTTCCATTACACAGCACGACACAGCGCCAGTGAATGTCATCATTACAATGTGCAACATGATAATTATAATTTATTGATTGATAGAGCGCCTCATGAAGTCGATGAGACGTATCAAATCGCTTCATGGAACATATTGTAACGTGTATTTTTGAGTGTGTTTATTGTGCGCGAAATGCGGCAGGGAACTGAGATCAATTACATTGTTATATTTTACATTATAATTACTTATGTCAATAGATATTATAAGTATATTCTTAATCAAGGCAGCATTATATCATTCGGTATCTAGCAAAATCAAGCTGAGGCTTGGGATTAATTTTAATCGAATTGGTCAGTGTTTTCTATCTATTAAACTTATGTTTTGTTGTGTATAATTTTCAGATGTTTTCAGTGCCTCAGTAAAGCAAACACCACCGTCTCTTAGGAGAGAAGAATGCGAGTCTTTGACCATCAATTGTGTCTTTGAAGCAGGTTATTATGAGACTTTCAAGAGCATGGACTATTTTAGACATTTTCACAGTGAGGAACATTGGAAGCGGATCCCTCTTGGAGGACGATTTGTTGTAAAGACAGACGCTGGATCGAAGACGTCTTTGCTGGAAATTAATGATTTGCAAGTTGAAG